ACACTGCAGAAAATTCATGACACATTCTTTTTGAAGCCTCGAATCTCCAACACATACACAACCAAATTGTTCACATAATATGCACAAACCAACATGATATGATATGGAAGTTTCGTGTTTTGAGAAAACCGCTTCTAAATTTTTGAAAAATTTCAATCTTTTCATTTAAAATTTCTATTGATGTGACAATTATAATCAAGGTGGATATGTGTTCTCTAACTTATCTATTGCGAAATGAGATAACTTTCGCGCAATCATATGTGATTTGACCTTGATAAAGGTCAAGGTACAGGTATTTTAGATTCGACACTTATTGAGACAAACATAATTTTAGGATACCTATATTCGTCAAGATTGTCATTTTGCGATACAAAATTAGTGACTTTTTCATGGAAAAACAAGAGATTCGCCAACGCGTTCACAGCTAAAGGCTAAAAACGTTATATACAGATCCCTACATGTGTAGTTGGAAATCGAAAAGAGTGGGTAATCATTCAGAATGAAACACATATTATTTACCTTGTACTGCGTACAAAATGCTAATGAGTTGCAACAACATTTTATTTCATTTCATGCTGATTCGAGCTACGATTCAGTATATTAAAAAGATAGCTTTCGATGCACGGTAATATACGCCCACTGGCAACTGTCAGAAATAATAAAACAGTCTTTAGTGACTAAATTACGAATTTTCTCATATTGAAGAAATTATTTATGCTGAATAATTCCACAAAATTTTTTAAAATCAATATCAATAACCCAAATACAACAAACAATTAAATCACACAGCTCTAATCAAGGGCAAAAAACAACTTTTGGCGCGTGTTTACAAAGTCAAGGGCAATAACTCAAAAACCATTCATCGAAAATGCGTCAAGTTAGAACTTGTCCGAGATCTTATGAATTCCAATGATCTCACCAAGTTTCATCAGAATCGGATGAAAACTGTAGCTTCAATCCTGCTCACGAACAATTTTTAACCAATTTCAAGGCGTTCTAAGTCAAGGGCAATATCTCAAAAACCGTTCATCGAAAATATGTCAAATTCGAACTTGACCGAGATCTTATCAATCTCAAGCATCACACCAAGTTTTATCAAAATCAGATGAAAACTGTAGTCTCTATAGTGCTCACAAGAAATGTTGACGGACGGACCGACGGATGGACTGACCGACGGACGGACTGACCGACGGACAGGGTCGACGACAATATACGACCATATATTCATGTGGGCGTATAAAAAGTTAAAGTTGATATGAATGACTTATCAGTAAACTGCAGTTTACAATCAATCATAATAATACTGGTTCACTTGTATTTGTCGTATATCCATAAATTACAGAATTTACAAGTACTGTAATAATAGTTAATTTAATCGTGCCAATTATATTTGAGGTGAAATAAAATGATAATAGACATGATATACAATTCGAAATATTTCAACATAATATATATTACAAATTAACACAAATTGAAATTCATGAAAACAATTAACCACGGTATCGCTTCAAAACGTACTGAAGTCGAATTGGACATTACGTCTAAAATCACAGACTTCCAAAAAACAATTTTGCAGTTTGTGACTTTACCACAGGTGTATCCTTAGAACACAACGATTGCAGATCTGCATACTTGTCTGCAGGTATTTTTGGTGGGGTGGCGTCGAGAGTTGAGACGTAGAATTATTTTTTCTGTCCTTTTCAGTATTCTTTCGATGGTGCTATGCACCAAGTCTCCCTCGTTTTGCCCATGATTGGTCTCGTAATAGTGTATAGTAATTTCTTGTATAAACGTAGAGTTTTCAATAAATTGTAAAAACATAGCATGGCATTATGGAATTCCTCTTTTGGTCCGAACAGCCAGGATTTGCGTCTTTCTTCCGACAGAGTATGACAAGCAAGATCTCTCTGTCTAGCGATGTATATCGATCTTTTAAAGTATTTCGAGCGGCCACAAACTTGTCAGTTATTTCTGTTGAGTACGAGAGCCCATCGTTCCTTGGTTCTTTCGCAACGTCTCTCTTGGAAGTTGTGCTGCTGCTGCTGCTGGTTGCTGGTCTTCTTCTCTTTGCATACCATCTACTGTGAAGGAGCTTGAATTCGCACAAAAGGCACGGGGACCAATAAAATGGTCGTTACATACCATTCGCTAACACGAAGGGCAAGCTGCACAAATACCAATGGTACAACCAGCCCTTTCACAAGTAGTTTGAAGTACAGAATCTCCATCATCAGTATCATCAGATGTTATATAATCAGTCTGGATCATCGTCTTCAAAATCTTTTTTGAGATTTGAAAAGGGTGTATGTGATTTGAAATAATGTTTAAGCTGTCGCTCGTTAAAACTGATTCGGGGCGGTGGTGGGGGGCTTGGTCGTTTTTTTGTTTGTTGGAGCGTGGATCCCGATAGGACATAGGCTCTATTACTATGAAAACACGGTGACAAGGGAAAAAAGGGGATGTTACTCTGTCGCCTATATTAATTATAAAACCAAAATTGAGTGACAACTGTCTTGGTCTTGATAATAAAGTTGTTTGAAAATGAACAAAAACACATCCTACCTTGATTCAACCGCTTCGAAATAAAAATCAGGAGTGAATCAAGTCTCAATTTAAAATTAAATTAAAGGTAGTCAGACTTGTTAATACAATACATTGGCTTGGCATAGAAAGCAGTCAGTAGAAAACAAACTACGATTATGTGGGATGCGAACTTTAAATACATGCAATGTACACAATGTATACTATTGTAAAACATTGTTTTATGGTAAGTATATTGTATAATATTATAACATGTTGACATCATATTATTGTAACCGGTTATTCAATTTATTCAATGTCCCGCTAGGTGACGAATATGTCAGTTTGAGAGATTTTTATTTCAAATTTCTGTTATTGGGAAGTTGCGCAAAAATTTGCATATTAATCGGTTTGCGTGAATGACGACGTATTGTAGCCAATAACGTTACAAAAAGGGCGTTAGGAAGAACTCCAGAACCAAACCTAAGCTGATTGTTGAAAACTTATTGATGTAATAAGTTTTATATAATTAGATGTGGTACATACCTACCTACGGAAATGGCCTCAGAAGGACCGACTGTAGTAAAACATTTTATGCTATGGATTGTATCGTGCTATTTTTAGAAATCCTCTTCCACCCTCCCTTTTGTAAAGTTTTCAAAATTTTGGAAAAAGTTATAGAAGGTTGAATATCGTGATTTAACATGGAAACAAATGGCAAATGAATTATTACTTGAGTATGTCCAGAAGGGCCCAAGAATATCTTCTTCATTGATTTATCTTGCTAATTAAGCTAGTAGAACCTATACTATGCTACTAATGCTTATGGTAATAATAGGCCTACCACTTGTTTATATCGGGTTATGGAAGGAATTCTTTATCGTATGACTAAATGGTGTACATCGCCTTCATAATCGTACTTACTAAAACATGAGTAGATATTAAACGACCAGGAAATAACCAATGGAAACGACCGGAAAACGACAGGAAACGACCTCAAACTATTTTGGGTAGATTCTGAGCAAGCTAATTAGGACGAACAAGTAACTAATTAAAAATATGCTTGCGGATACCATATTCCCAAAAACAGAGAATTATTTTATTCCAGATTTCTTGGGAGATACGATACTAGGTCTAACAAAGAAATTACTTGACGCCTCCAGATTAGAGGGAGGATCAGTATTCACTATTTGGATGCCCTCATCCCCTGTTTACCTCTTTTTGGATCAAGTCCCAGGCCCCTAACCGGCGAACCTTTCGCACTCTCATCTAACTGATGCAGCAGTATAACTAAGCTCATAGCACTAAGCAGGCTGCTTTGAGCATCCGCATGTTGAATAATTTTCCCTCCAAAAAATAGTATTTTCTCTTCATACACGGTCAAATATAATCATATAATGTTGGATCATGTTTGACGATGTTTGTTAGACAGTCTAGACGGAAATCCAAAACAGGATTGAACATGGTCTGACAAAATTTATGATGTAAAATTGGACTGTACCGAAGGTAAGAAAGAATGTTCATGTTCGTTATATTGGCTATTATGATACGAGATCTAAAACAGTACATTGATCCCAGGGTTATTTTGATTGATTTGCATTTGTACTCTACATAAGAGAGAATGTTCCAAAATGTCTTTCATCAGCCAGACTGCATTCCAGTTTCAGTGACGGTAGGCCTAATTTTGCGAGTTAAAATTTGGTAGGATTTGGAAGGACACTTTTGGAGTTCTGTTTCCTGACATGTATGCCAAAGTGTTCATCTTATTTTGATGTAGTAGTCTGTATAGTTTATAGCTCTATGTTTAGGCTACAGTAGCCTATAGGCCTAGGCTACTTGTAAGTAGTACTTATTTTAGTAGTTAGGCTGTAGTTTGAAAAGACTATTCTCTTTTTTGAGAATTTGGGGCCCTGAAAAGGGCCGAGTTTCGTGTGGTTTAATCCATGTCCATAATCTCGATCATCAATCTATTTCCTTGCTCTTCGGGTTCGCCTTCGCCTTCGAACTTTGCCTGCAGCCCTTCGTCGTCGCCGACGTTTGACTGGAGAGCGGGATCGCCTTCGTCTTCGACCTTTGGATCGGCTTCGTCGTCGACGACCCTTTGATGCAGATCTTCGTCGACGAGACCGACTTCTTCGTCGTCGGGAACGGCTTCGTCGCGCCCTAGACTTGGATCGACTTCTTCGTCGTCGGGAACGGCTTCGTCGCCTCCTTGACTTGGATCGGGTCCTTCGTCGTCGGGAACGGCTTCGTCGCCTTCGTCCCTTCGATGCGGATCGTCTCCTTCGTCGTCGGGAACGGCTTCGTCGCCTTCGTCCCTTCGATGCGGATCGTCTCCTTCGTCGTCGGGAACGGCTACGTCGCCTTCGTCCCTTCGATGCGGATCGTCTCCTTCGTCGTCGGGAGAGGCTTCGTCGCCTTCGCCTTCGCGAACTTGATCGCCTTCGCCTTCGCGAAGTTGATCGCCTTCGCCTTCGGACGCGGCCAACCTTAAATCGACCCTTAGCACCCTTGGCGCGTGAACCCTTAGGACGAACGAGAGCACCTGTCCTCAAACCCTTGGAAAGAGCTCGTCGCAATAGACCATTGACGCGCTTTGGAGGAATTCGAGAATGGGAAAGGACATATTTCCTGATAGCAGGAACTGTCGATCCCTTTCTGTCCTTCAAAGCTCGTACAGCGGCTACGGTGGACGATAAGGTGGTAGACCTTACTTTTCGTTTGCCTCCTCGCCCTCGTAAGCGTTTCTTTGGAGAGGCATTCTTTTTATGTGATTTCTTTGGTGATCGAGACCTAGACCTGGATCTAGATCGTGAACTTGAGTTTAACCTCCCAGGACTGACCATAATGAGTAAGGCAGAATAACCACGTGACATTGTTTATGTAGCATTGGCGCGGACCTCATAGAAAGCGCTTAGTTTCTAGGCTACGATTGCCTCACGAGCTAGCGTTCTCAATGGCGTTCGTGTTTCCTCAACTTCTCATACGCACGTTAGTATCTTTATTTTGCATATTGTATGGTAAAAAAGGGATGCAAGAATAATTTAGATTATCTAACCTTCGATTAACGGTTTCGGTTATGTTTAAATTTTTTAATTTTCTGATATATTGTTCATGCAATCATGGATCAGACGAGAATAGTTTATAGTTGCATTTTATTTCGTTGAAATTGTCCAAATGCTACGCTCACTGATTAATGTACACCTCCTGTGTTTAGAACACAAATTTCGCTGTTGCCTTTCATGTAAATTCTTGTCTCGTGTTCTTTGGAAAAATTTCCATATTTTATGAATTAATCAGTGGGAGAAAAATTAAGACACAGTCTATTTGGCGACCATTTTTGATGATTTATAGTTGACAAAATTCATCAATTCATGACATCAATCAATCCCATCATGGCATCATGGTCGCCAAAATCGACTGTGTCAGTGTGTGCTTATTTTTCTGATTGGATTCCAATATCACAATGTGTGTTGGCTGCTTGCTGAAATTTCTTGTTTTGGCTAAATTTCAATGTCGGTTTATAGTTGATATTATCCTAGATCTTAGACTTAGTAGTGGCGTATTTGTATTTAAAGGGGGGAGGGGGCAATCGGGCCAAAAATAATGAAATATTTATTCTATTTTCACTGCAGAAATCGCATTAGATGTATTCTTCGTCTTTCTAGATTAGATTTTCCAGTGTCAGTACGAAAGGTACGTACGGCTATGGAAAAAAAAGGGTTAGATTAGCCTAGTCTAGTAGAATCCAATCTGATTTTTTTTAAATTTTATTTCAATGGAAAAAGGGGGATAATCACGGTTGACATTGGTCTGAAAATTTCTAAAATTAGCACGGGGACTACCCTCTGACGTATGAATGGGAGTTTCTTCGATTTTAGCGCCACAAATTGACAACAAACTATAAACTTCGAACAAATCAAGTCGTTTTAAGTTTTAAATTTATCTTGAAAAATGAGTTTGTGGGTTGACAAACATCGTCCATCACAACTTCACAAGCTTGATTACCACAAACAGCAAGCTGCCAACTTAAAAAAATTGGTAAAACTCTTAAATTAGATTATATTTTGCATATTTTATGCAGAATGAATTGAAATAAACATAGTTCATCCATTTGTACCCAAATAGTTACTGTTATTCGAGAAGTCGTAAAGCTAATGAAAGCACTTGGAGGAGGCTTAGGTCACATCACAATATTTGTTGTTTTGTCACTCTAATTATTGCAATTGGGTGCAAAAATTTGCTTTGCTGGAAAACATCACTCCATGAAAAACAGCCTTGATAATCTATATTATAACATTACATTTTGTCAAAGACAACATTCAAGCATAATGATTGGTGAATGCAACAAAGAAAATCTAACACTTTAAAAAGTATGATTCGATTATTATTAATAACGTTATTAGCTAATATTCTGCAGTTGTCAGAAAATTGTATTAGGATAGAAGCATGTAAAACAGAATTCATTTTAAACACCACAAATGTCAGTCTTTAAGTAGTTTACTTTGTCAAAAATGCCTTGTAGCCTTTTTATATTATTTTCTTTTAATTATCTACGTAGTAGTATAATCGGATAGATATATTAGAAAGTGGGTCTAGGGGCTCTAAAATTCCTAACAAATTTTAATTTTTGTTAGTTTTGCTACAATTCATTTGGAATGTTGAATTCATGGCTAAATCTTAAAAATAGCTCTAATTTTTTAGTATTCAGTACCGGTACTCAAAAGTTGTATGTCGTCACTAAGAATGCCGTAAGGAATGGCATCAGATGAAAGCAAATCAAGCCTAATTTTAAAAATTTTTCAAGTTGATTGTTTTGATAATAAGAGTTTATGACAAACATTTCAGATTGCCAGTGGTGATCTACCCCATCTATTGGTGTATGGCCCATCAGGTGCTGGTAAGAAAACCAGAATAACATGTATATTACGGGAATTATATGGTGCTGGTGCAGAGAAATTACGAATCGAACAGAGCCATTTTACAACACCATCCAATAAAAAGATAGAAATATCTACTATAGCTAGTAATTATCATATAGAAGTTAATCCAAGGTAAATTATTGAGATTTCATCAAACCTCTGAAGACATAATCGTTGTATTATTTGCCCATTCACCATTATTTATCAATACATTTTTTTTAACTGCATAAGGGAATACTTGTATCTGAGTAATATCTGATGTGTTTCTTAGTTTATTAACTTAATTATTTAATGCACATGATTATATATATATTGTAGTGATGTTGGAAATAATGACCGAATAGTGATACAAGAATTAATTAAAAATCTAGCTCAAGTTAATCAACTAGATTCTTCATCTCAGAAAGAATTCAAAGGTTTGTTTATTTATTCACATAATAAAAGTTTTTTCAGCATCAATGTACAATGAAACGATTCCATAGCTTATTAAATCTATTCTACAGTGTATTATTTATTCTATAGTTGTGGTGCTAACAGAGGTAGACAGATTAACAAAAGATGCTCAACATGGTTTACGTCGTACAATGGAAAAGTACATGGCAACATGTCGTCTGATACTGTGCTGTAATTCGACAAGTAAAGTTATTCCTGCTATTAGAAGTAGATGTTTAGGGGTTAGGGTTGCTGCCCCTAGTGAAGAAGAGGTATGTATAAGATAAAATTTTGGGATATTTTAATCTATTCCTGCGGGTATCATTTGAATTTTCACAAGATCTTAGTTCTCTTTTCACAAACCTCAAGCCAAAACGGAACTTAAAATCATCTACTATCTTTAATAATAATGTTAATTTCAAATACAGTGAAATACTAGTACTATGGTAGATGATTTAGTGTAGAATATCACCAAAACGATTTTATTTTGTTATCAGGTTGTGTATAAAATTCCTTTGTATACATATATATGCCAAAGTTTTTAACCTTTGAAGCCACTGATGTGACAATATTGTTATACAAATCATGCTATGTCATTCTTCTACAAATGTGTCTAGGGTGCCAAAAGTGTATGCTTTCATTTATGTTGAAAGATGTGGTTATTATTGTCCAATATTTTTATGTATTTCTCTGTAGATAGCTCAGATATTACAGAATGTATGTAAGAAAGAGGGATGCACATTACCTGCAGAATTAGCTAAACGTATAGCAAATAAGAGCAACAGAAATCTACGTAGAGCTTTATTAATGTGTGAAGCCTGTAAAGTTCAACAGTAAGCTATTTTCTTTAGAGGGATGGGTGTGCCATTTTAGGGGTTGATTTCTGTTTAATAATGCTACTTAAGGTTTGCTGACTGATTGTAGGGCTGTTAAACTCTCTGATATAAGCTTAAACTTTAATACAATCAACAAAAGAGTGTTACACTACTGCTATCTGTTTGCAACCTAACAAGTCTCTTATCATTGGACATTTAAGACTTTAGTAAGATTCTAATGAAAAGAGAATTGACCTGTCTCTCCTTGTTCAACATGTTCCAAATTCCAGATAAGAGTTAGAGGCAGCTTATTACAAAAAGAACAAAAGGCTTAAAAATAGTGATTTATTTGACTGATGTTTTTCAGGTATCCATTTAGTGCTGATCAAACTATATCTGAACCTGATTGGGAGATTTACCTCAGAGATACAGCTACTATGATAGTACAACAACAATCGCCTAAAAGGTAACAGTGTATTATCATTGTTGTTGTCTTCATAAAAATATCGTAGTTCAGCACTGACTTTCCCATCCACAAGTGAATGCAATGGAGGCCAAAGTTTTTGTCAGATTTACATAAAATGTTGTGTAGGAAGTAGGATTAATTGAATATTTGGACAAGTTTGAATTTGGAATGATTGGAACGAAATATTTCTAGAATTATTACTCCCTGAGAATATGTTAAAAGTTGACAACAGCTTTTTTCAGAATGCAATATATGTTTCACCTTGAAACTCCAACCATCTTCCTGTGTTGATATGTACTGTTATTTTACAGATTATTAGAGGTGCGAGCTAGATTATATGAATTATTAACACATTGTATACCAGCTGATGTTATTATTAAGGTATGTATTCTAAAATTGTTTGATTGTGGTCAAGTCAAATAACTTTCTTGATGTCCTCATAGACCTTTTATGGGAAGTTTTTATTTAAAATTTTACTTCTTAAAAGGAAAAGTAGCTTTCAGGATTTGTTATTAATTATGATTAAATATAGGTTTTTGTGGTTATTTAATTCACAGTTTGTCTTAAAAATCAAATAATTGCACTTACCATTGATGTATGGAAGCCACCATTTTCTTTATGACATAACGTCACGTCGTACATAGACGATAACAAAATAACAAGAAGAAATACCAATGATCTACCATCCTTCATAATATTTGATTCAATATTAAACCTAGCAGAAGATAGCCAATCTTTGCATAAATCACTCTTTTAAAGGGGACATACTTTTTCAGAAATATGCATCTGTTTTTCTTTGAAGAACAGATTTAGGAAAAAGCAGTCCTAATTAGACCAGTCTGGTGATCTTCATACTTTTCTTTTTTTTCGTTTTTGTAGAAGAAAAACACAACTTGTCTTGGGAACCGTCTCATTCATGCTTATATATCAATTATTCAATGGTCTGATTCAATTATGTTACTTGCCAGCAAGATTGCTTTGTTTACTTTTTATCTATGTAAAATGGCGGCCTCCATGAACAAGTGATTTAGGTCGAAATGACGTCAATAGTCATTCTGTTTGATCCTACGGGTACAAAATTGAAACATTTCTACAGGGGCTACGGCAATATACGTCCACATTTCCATGTGGGCGTATAAAAATGAAAAAGAATCTGAAAACAGATGAATTTGTACTGTAACTTGTAAGGATGGACTGTAACACAAGCAGTTTGAGCATTGGAATGATGTCCTTTGTCATGGTTACTTTAATTAAATGGTATTTGTGGGTTCAGCTAAGGACCAGGTGATAGAAAGAATCCTTGCAAACCTTTCTTTCTATCTCAAGTCTTCAATTGAAGATATGAATATATATCTTATTTGCTTATTTCATTTGAAAGATAGACAACATTCCATTCTTTCTACATGGGCCCATAACTTTTGTTTGGTATTTTACAAAGTTTTGAATCATTTTAGGGACTACTACAAGAACTGCTAGCTAATTGTGATGGACAGTTGAAAACAGAAGTTGTTCAAGCTGCTGCATATTATGACCATAGACTACAGATAGGACAGAAAGCCATTTATCATCTTGAAGCTTTTGTGGCTAAATTTATGGCAATTTATAAACAATTCTTAGATGAAGGAATGGCTGATTTCTTCTGAGTTTTCAGATATTCTGTATCATTTTGTGGCAAATTCATTGTATGGTAAAGATATTCTTCATTAAAACAAGGGCTGCATCAAAATGAAAGTTAATTTGTATTATTTGAGAAAAGGTCAATGATGATTTTTACAAGGAAATGTGAAATGAATGCATTACAACAGTATCACTGATATTTTATTAGGGTAAAATTAACATGACTAACAATAAAATTAACAAGTCAACAACAAACAAATGCCATTATTTATTGTATTGAGTCTTAGGTTGGTGTAAATTACAAGAAATGCAGGGTTGCTTCATGTTGATCCACTGAAGTATTTAATTGAATACCGTACATCACTTTTTCTTCCTATTTTTCATGCTTTATTGGAGCATTGAATTTAATTTCAATATCTGCAGTGAGATACTGCACAGTCAAAATGATCCTAGTCAAATGGTTTGAAAAAAAAAACGGCTTATATAAAAAACAGAATTCACAAGAAAGTTCTGAGCAATTAGCTTTGAGTATTTTAATTTGGTCAGCTTTGGTGGACTATATCTCTATCTTTCTCATCTGAGAACATCGCCTAGATTGGTCAAACATCACTTACATTATGTGCTGCATTAGCCAAATTAATAATCCTACAGAAGGTAATGTTTCACGCAATCTTGTCTTAAAAATAATTCATTCTTTAGATCCAACTTTCAATAAGTATTGAAAATAAAGGTGCAAGTTTGAAAAGTGAGGTATCAAAAATTTGAGAAACAAGCTGTGTAGTCTTTCCCATAATACTGTAAACTGGTATTTTTATAGTATTTATATTTCACTTATCACATTTCTATTTGATTATCCAAGAATTATGTTTCTAAGTTACTTAGTTCAGAATTAGATGTGATTTTACGCTTCACTCCCATTGGTTCATCAAAACTATTCACACTGGCACAATCATAGATATCTTCTGATTCAGTATTCCTCGGGGAAACTGTATTTAAATTCTTCTGATCCACTATCCTGAATGCTTCTAGGAATTCATTGAAGTCAATTTGGCCATCTTTGTTTAAATCTAAACTTTTAGCAATGTCATTAACTTGGTTAGGTGATAAGTTGACGCTTGTATGTCTTGTAAGAAGAGTACAGGCATCAGTAAATTCACTCATTGAAATAAATCCAGAATTATCCTTATCAAATATTCTAAATATAGTTTCTAAACTGTCTTTATATCTATATAACATCTCCATTACTGAGGCACCATTCTAGAAATAGAATACAAAAATATTAGACCATTATTCTGAGCAGCTATATTGAACTTTGTACTTACCTTGACTGCAAACGTCACTTTTCTTGTAACATGGAAGATTGTAAAAATGAATAAAAGTGGATCAAAAAAGTTTGGTATAACAAAACCTACAATTTTGATAGAATAGAATAACAATTCAGCCTATTGCTTAAAATCACCAAGCTTTTATGATTTGTACAATGACCATGAATTAGTCAAGAAGAGAGAAGAGGTGATAATATACACATTTATGCAGTAATTTCAATTACGTGAATACACTAAACATTTTTTAACCATCAAATGGATGGACCAAAATGCAATAATTTCTTGACTCATGTGAAATATATTTATGAGTTTTAAGGGTTATATAATTCAAAGGTCAAAATGCCCTCATTAACTTGCCTCACTATATCGATGGTAAATTTGAAGTTCTTCAAAGGTTGATTCATAATTGACCCGCTTATCAGAGTTTAATTTAACAAGTTTAGAACGTAACATTCTCCATGGTACATCTACATCCATTACTGACTCCATGGCAGAACACCAATCGGCTATTGTTATTGTTCCTAAAATATATCCAAATATGCAATGACTGTTAAAAAATTTACCAAAATATAGTGTCTTAAATGTGTCAAGGTTCAAGTGTCTGTCTAAGATGTGCCAAAAGTTTGAGTTTCTACCACAAATGTGCCAAAAGATGTAATGCCTCAAAAGGTTGAGTGTCTTTCTTGAATGTATCAAATGATGTTATATTTATAGAGCCTATCAAAGATCCCAAGTCAAAACTTAAATATATTCAGGGTTTTACCTACCAGTTTCCTCTGTATCATGTTTTTTAAATTCTTCCATCAAATCAGATTTCAGGGTTAGAATCTTCTCCCTCAAATCTTGCATAGCAGACGCTTCCAAACAACTGATTCTGAAATTAAAATAAGTTTGATAGGAGAAAATTATTTGGAAATTCGGAATATAAATCAAAAATTTAATTATTTCAATAATTGAACTGTCAAGATCAAAACATTCAAGAATCTGCTAAACATAAAGTGTTAGCTGATATTCCTTCTATTCATCAATAGACTTTAATATTCACATGTCGGAAACAATCCAGTCGCCAATGGCTACCACAGATAGAAATTTGACCTAGAATAACAGAGCTGCTATAGTAGTTGGGAATCTGAAGAAAATAGTAATACTAAAACACTACCTTTTCTTACCTTTGTGTAAATGTTAATTTGCGAACGCTGCCAGTTTGATAAGCTAGAAACTGAACCATGTGAACTGTCAGGTCTGGTCCCATTAGCTTAGCATAGGCACCTTTATTACTTCCAATATCATAATAGTTAGAAGCAGAAAATATGGTTAATACCTAATAAAAAGTATGATATATTTATATCATTATGGCAGCAAACGCTTGTTTCACCAAAACTAATATCAATGACTTTAAACCCTCTCAAAACTGTTTTCATGGACAGGCCAGTTCTGTTGGACTGGAGCTCTATAATGGATGGTTTTAAGTCCAATTGCAATATTCCACAATTCTATCTGTTCAAGGGTAGACATTGATACATTAGTTGGAATAAATATTCATACCTTGCCGTCATGGTTATATTCAAAGCCTTCTGGTTTACATTCATGTGAGCGTATCAACAGTTTAAAATTATGTTCTTCAAGAAAATTCTCTGTAATATCAGGTCCAAAATAACATCCACCACCACGAAATGTATTAGGATTACATCCCATTAAACTTTTAGGATCACTCCATAACAAATCTAATACCTGTACATAAAAAGTTGGTTTCAACGTTAAAAAGTTGGTTTCATCGTTAAATATGTTCTTAAAACATTATAAATAGCTCACAGATGAAAATATGAGCATCCTCAAATATTCTAAATATAGTTTCTAAACTGAGGCACCATTTTAGAAATAGAATAGAAAAATACCTACCTGTTTCCATTCTTCTAAGCGTTGCAATTCTAATGACACATTTTCTAAACTACTGACTTCTGATAATGATGGTGGTCGTAATACTGATATAAACTGCAAAAAGGACAGAACTGGTGACCAACCATAACAATCATTATGGGCTACATATCAGATATAACAGACGACAGTTTGCAGAGTTAAAAGAAATAAGTGGTATTGCTGTTTCAATGTAGCACAAATCATGCTTTCGTTTCTACTTACTCGATGTCTGTCTAGTCGCGCCAGAGACTTTAGACTGACATGTTGAGATATCCCACCATGCACCACAAGAACTTTATCATCAATCACAGTTGCTAACGGTAACCAGCTGAACACCTCGGTAAAGGACTTTGTTACTTGTGTAGAATAGTCCTGAAATAAAATGGGAAATGTGCAGTGGATAGCAGAGAAAACTTGAGAATGTCTCAAATAGTGAAAAAATTCTTATTGATGTGCCCCTGGCTCATAAATTGATCCCATTAAATTGATTCTTAGATATTTGATTGTTGTGTACTCTAGACCTTGTCACACTGCAAAGAATTGATAATTGCTAACATCATATTTTCTCTTTTTTGTTACAACTTTGACAGAAACTTTATATCACAATCAGATTCATCAGACATTTAACCTTTTTTTTTTTTTGTCTGAGCAAAATGTGTGAAATATCTATTAAAGTCTGAGTACTCTTTCAATTATTAACCTTACAAATGCAAGTCTTCTTCAACAAAAGTGTCAAATGAAATAATGATAGATGTAAGTGATTTGAATAAGATAATAGAATATCAAGTTTTAACCTTTAAACATTTTAACGTCTAGCTGTTAGTGAAAATTGACTTTTAAAAGCATTTAGGTTACAAAGTTGTAAAAAGAGCTTTAAATACATTACAAATTAAGACATTCACTGTAGCCATTAAATTGGATTATCAACTGAATTTCAAGCTTACAGATTTTCCCTATTTTAAGTGATACTACAATACTGAATTATCCTTTAGATTTCAAAATCCAGTTCAGTATTAAAAGCAACCAGCTTTGGAAATCTACTTGATAGGACATCCAATAGAAATAAGTATCATTTATAACATTCTATTCCTGGATTACATTGTACACTTTAAAGCAATGTATATTGTTATCTTCAATTGTAGAGGTAAATTAAAATTTGATGATAATGTAAATTGTTAAAACAGATAATGAATTGTGAATTGTATACCATGACATTGTGTTTCTTTATTAACCATAAAATTTTTAGCAAATAATTCTATTAAATAAATTCAATTGCTCAGTTTCTTTGGTAGTGATTGTTTACTCTTGTATAACAATTTGTATTACCTTATATTTCCTAATGATTTCCTTCATAAAACCATATCTACAAAATATCAAATATATCATTTTCACCCACTAATTACTCATATTTTATTTTCTTCTCTGACAGATGGATATAGATAAAATGTGTTCTTCTTGCAGATATTTATATACAGTATATATAAGACCTTTTTACAATTTTAATCCTTTAGCTACATTTAACGTCATGTGTAATAAAACTAAGGAGTAGTATACCATAAAATTGTGTTTAGTTATTTAATTTTATACTAGAGAAAGTGACAAAATCATTTGAAAAGAAAATTTACCTACCTCATATTCATGACATGATCTTCATGGTTACCACGATTTAAAAATACTTCATTAGGTGAGGCAAGGAAACAGGCAAATAATATAATGGAAACTTCTATAGACGAAGCCCCACGATCCACAAAATCACCATTAAATACAAACGGGTTATCTACAGATGGAAGGCCATTCTGAAATCAAACAAAGGAAGATATAATGTTGCCAGCTTACAGCATTATTTGTTGCTTGAGTCATCTCTCATAATTAATCCAATTGACCTCATTGGTCTTCCTCCAGCCAGGAGGTTTATCATAAACTGGGTTTAAGGGTTTTTAAGAGATACTCTCTTATAGAAGTACTGGCCTAGGTTACAAGTAAAGACTGGGTATTAGAATTGGAATACATCAATTGGATAAGAAGTTACCTACATCTGGAGAGATTTACAAGATAAACACATAATTATAAAATGCAAAGCGATGGTTTTAGGGTGTTAATGAAAGGGGATCTAATCTACCATAGACAAGAACATTACTCAGATTTTTATTCCTTTTGTAGGCAGTCACCAAACCTTTAGTATAGATGTTTGGGAATTCGTCCTGAAGTTCTTTATAAAAGCAATTGACAATCACAGAGGCATTTAAGCTGTAGAATTGTAGGTGGCAACAAAAGGTATAATTTGATTGTCATGCTGTATATTTAGGCCGTTAGGTACAACTGTTTGTAATTGGTCTATCCAGAAACTCTCCCTTTGCAATCGCTTGGTTTTTAGTTTAGTCTTTGTAGATACAGAAATATTTTTATGGACATAACAAGAAGATCTTCAATGGAATGATTGGTTGAATTAAAATGATTCGTGATTTGTCTGTCTTTTTTTGAACAGAATGTACAAAGCGTTGAGATGGTAAGAATTGATTTGACATAAAAAATGAAAGGCAGGAATGCTGAGTAATGTATATTTCAGTTAAGTATTATAATAGCCAATATTGAGAATGATGTTTTCTGGACAATATAAGAAATGTATTACTTTTGTGGGTGATTTAAACTCTATTATATAATCAATTTTATTGATAGACCAAGAAGGTGACAGAACATAATTGTGTTTATGTGAAATTTGACCCCTGGTTCAAATGTTTCCTACCTTATGGAAGATCATATATAAATCTTCTAATTTACCATGTAAATCACCACACACTGTGATTTGTTTAGAGATAGATGTGGAGGCATAGTTGATATTTTTCATCTGTTTGAATAATTTCTGAGTTTCATTCAGCAATTCCAATAAATATCTTACATGTAGGCGCTGAATTAGACACAGAAAGCAAGAATTATTGCTTTTGTCTCTGGACTAGTTAAAATCAAACCTCCTCATTCAAGACAAATTGTCCTGGCTATGGATTTCATATGTTAAACATGGTTCAACAGCAGAGATATCTTGTCAACCCTGTATATTTATCTGCAAGAAATCTAAATACACAAATACCATGCAATTTCTTGTAATGCAGTAAAGGGAGATAATTTGCTGTGCCAAGGGAGGTAATTCTATTAAAGTGGCTATATCACTGCATATCAATTTGCACCAAAAGACATCCATTTAACAGTGACCATGCCTACTATATTTTGACATAATCTATATGAATACAATAACAAATATTTTCACTGTCAAAATAATTCTCAATACATCTTTTGTAGAGGGATAGAGAAATCTTCTTTTTGGATATTATGGTATACTCACCCTTTTTGCTTTGAAGGCCTGTATGAGAGTTTTAACTTGAGCATGTGTTATAGGGAATGTTAGATGAGGTCCAGTATAGGAACTTTCTACTTCTATACCCTCTATACAGCCTGATATATCACTGGTTTCACTAGCTGTAATAGTAGAAGTATATATTATGCTTCAGCAAACTATTTATCCACATAAACAACATAATTCAGACACATACATGAACAGTTTGCTGATTAGTTCAAATTCTGAACTTCAAGAAGTACTGAAATCAATACAGGTCTGTGTGGTAATAATGATATTGATGATAACTAAATACATAAAGAGACTTCACCAGCAACATATAACTATTGATAACACCACACCCCACTCTCAAGACTGATATTTTTGTTTTTCAAACAATCAATTTAAATAGATAATGGTTTAAATATTTTGCAATTTGTGTTCCGAAGTTTACAAATGCTCACAATATTTGTTTTATTTTGTTTACTATGGTGTAGTTAGAGATATTTGGAAACATTTCTAAAAACAAAGACATGCAGTCTATTCTATGATTAGTAAAGTAAATGGTAACAGAAACTACTTTAAACTATTTATATTACCAATTATCTTTTCTTGTATTATTCATAACTTGAATAATGATTTAATATGATTTATAAAATAGCAACACTGGTAAAATTATATCAAAGTTCATCCCAATTTTCACACTGAAATTGTCTAGCTAAATTTCCATGTCCAAGCCATTCTACATAAATAACACGAGACTGCCATAAATCCTGAGATATATTTTAACTTTTTTATTGTAATTTACACTCTTATTTTGGCCATAAATTCCAAACCATTTCATATATTATCATATAATAAAAATAAATCATCTGAAATAGAATCTTGATAAACAGGGAATAATAATAAGTAGAATCTTGGGAATTAAATTCAGATTTTCTTATTATTGAGTTTATCATCATATTTTAAAGTGATTTTAAATTTGATCAACATTGTAATATAAAGGATTCTAATTCTGAATATAAACATCTCCATTTATTTCCTATTAATCCCTTAAGTCAAGTAAGATGATCCAATATTTTAGATAAGCCAAGGAATCAAATAGATCGTTTGGATTTTATAAAAATATAACCCCAGTTGTAGTATTAACAGACATTACAATTCCACTATAAAGATAGAGTAGAGAATAGAATGTAAAAGATTATATCAGTCTGATAGCAGACAATAGATACTAGTAGATCTACCTAATAAGTCTCTTGGGCCAGAAAATAACAATCTATAATCAATTCTGTTCTTACTTGAAAAATTTTTTAATTTAAACGAGTCTGTTGAAATGTTTTATCCTGACTAGTGAAATATATCAGAATTAAGTACTCTGCATTGAGAATTTAGAACTATTTAAGGTGTTCCTTCTTACAAACTATTACAGTAGCATTCCAGAAATTTCAGGTTTTCATTTTAAATTAATTTATGATAATAGTTTCCAGATTTTCAATCTGAAATGTTTCATGGGGAATCTATATATGAGTGCTTAATTAGTATGCACATCAAAGTTACCATTCAGAGCGCATCTGACAAAACTAATAAATTATATTTTGATACATGATCTTAATCTCTCATAAAAGTTTGATTGAATATCCTATGATAAATTATTTAGTAGTTCAATATTATAACAGAAATAGTTACTATAGATTTTAGAGATTTACTTCTTCTAATTAGCTATGAAATGGAATATAGATCTAAAGTATTGTTTTCTGTCCTATTTAACTAATGAAGCAACCAACATCATTTTATTTTTTTATTATTTGAGGATTTTGCCTTACACAGTTATAACGTTGCTTTAAGAGTTAATCAAGAGTCAAAGATTTTTTAATCAATCTCTTCATAAAAATACCAGGCTTGTCCATGGTGAACATGATCATACTTCAGGGTAGTTTGGGCTTATGATATTGGTGAAAAAATGGTAGGTTAACAGCTAATGAATATTTCACATAAGGAAGTATATCAATCATGAGCATCAAGTGTCTAGAAGAGTCTAGCCCTGCCTGGTGCTACATGTCAGTGTAACATATCCTACAGACTATTTCAGCCCCGATTACTTGTCCCTGCTCTTTATCCATGAACTATAAGTAGAATAGTATAGTGGACCAGCCTCCAATATGATATATTATACATTCCAAAAGAATAAACATGTCAAATATTAATAGATTAAGCTCTATCCATGTTAACAAATTCACTATATATTTTCCCAAATTGGTAAGAGAGAAATTTGTCTGGCTACAAGTTATATCATGAATCAAACTGTCACTTTGGTATTCCCCATGGATACCTTACATCCTGTGACACAAATTTCTCTTCTTAAATAAGAAATCATGTGTCAAATATCATTTACACCAATAGGTCTGATGACAACTGTAATTGTAAGACAGAGTATAGTATTATTGAGCAAGGTAACTATTCTCATTGTGTAAACCATGCTATTAGTAAATAGATGGGACTTACTACAATAGTTCTGTTTGAGACAGTGAATTTGAATCAATCAAAAGAACTCTTATACAAGAAGGGCTGCCTTTATTCATGTATCTATTAGATTTTGCCTCATACTGTGTTAAAGAAGCTTGTGGATTGTTAAATGACTTAACATCATTTGAATATTTATTGCCTGATCCATAATATGGAACGAGCTGGCCTCAATGAAATATATAGAACAAATAAATATGTTCAGACCTTTTCAAAAGACAAACCTTCTTTTACACTTTGAAGTGTATTTCATTCTCCTGACCAAGCTGTGATACATTATCAAGTAAATCAAGTGGTCTGTAGTGTAACTATTACTGTATATGTTTAGGAAACTGTTCTCGGAGCACTTAACTGTGGAACTCTTCTTGAGGAGTTAGGCATTAGTCATTGTAATAAATAAATAATGGCACTGATGAAATTCTGTAGGTGAAGGTGAAGGTTGCATGTAAAGCAAGTGCCGTAATTTATTCTCAATTCAATCACACTAAATTATCAATAAGAAATCACTGAAAAATATCTTGACTTGTGAGTTGTCAGGTGGAATTTTTTGTCACGAGTTGGAAAGATCAATTAAAGTGAAGTCCAGGACAAGATGCTATGAATCTTGATTAGTTAAATTAACAGTCATCTAACGAAAGGTTGAGGCTATGTTGACCTTCAGTGCCTCTTGGTTAATACAGTAAAGTAATATATCAACACCCTAATAAGGTCATACTGACAGATGTCGTCCAGCTAATTCAATCTATGGGCTCATTATTGGTGAATAAATTACAATTAACTTAGTTACAACCCATCCTGAATCATTATCAATTTTAATCAAACTCAAATTTCAAATCTGTGTAAAGCTAAGTGCAGATTTAACATTTTCCATAGATTTTATAAGATAAAGAAAATGCTTTGGGAAGCATTGGTGAAACAGAAGTTCATTGGAAAATATCTAAACTGTTGAGAAACATATAGCAAAATTAAGGCAAATTACTGACAAATTATTGACAAATATGAAATAAGATTAAGTGAAATTGAGATACTTAAGGTGAGTGTGGGGAAGTTTGTCAAGAGAGAAGTTTGAAGTCACTGAGCCGGCCTGCTTTTCCGAGCCAGTTAGCATTATCAGTATTTCAACATGTCACTGTTCAAACTTTCATTACAAACTTTTTTATTACAATGAAAAAACGTGTTGACATTTGATACTTACCTACAACTGCTGGTCTTTGTGAAGAAGCAAAAGCACGAGCAATCTTGGGTTGCCCATCAGTATCAAGCTTCAATTGGTTAATCATGCTGTTAAAAAAGTTGTGAAGCTGAAAACAGATTTGATTTATTAAGACAGCTGAGAAAATATAAATAACATGGATGGACAAGCATAAATATTTTGTAATATTATTCTCCACAGAGATCATGTGTATGTCATATTACGGTTCTTTAGTAGAAAATTACTAAGGTAAAAGTGATCAGGGTACAAGCTTATGGATTGGACTAAATCACTAACACAGAATATATTTTTCTGCTTCTGTGATCTTTGAAAGTCAGATTTAGAGTCATGGTTCCAGAAATTTGTCTGCAATCAGATTAGAACCTTCTGACATCTAATTTACACTATCTGAATACTGATGATGTGGGTCTCAAATGTACATAATTCAGGTCCATTAAGAAGAGGATTTTTTTAAAGGAGCTTTTCTTTTCCCTTGACGAAGTCTCCTATTTATCAAATTAAATTGATGATGTCTTCTTTAGTAACAATGGTAATTATTCAGTGACCTTTAAAACGTGAAGGTCAAATGATGAGGATGGTGTCAGGTTAGAAGTTGTTAGAGACAACCAGACAAACTGAACCAAAATAATTGGATGTAAATAATCAAAAATCTTGCAATTAGTTTTTTTTATTTTCTTTATTGACTGAGGAAGAAATATTCAAAATAATCGTTAAAGCCCCATATACACTGTCAGATTTAAAATATAATTTATCATTAATTATAACACCATGTTGAAATCACTTTTGGATCCTAGTGTATTTTGGGGTAGACAGAATTTTAATGAACACAATTATATGTTTGTGTTCAATTTTCCATTTATTCAACTAGACTGAGTTAACAACTTTCATATTTTGTATTTGAATCTTTGACGTAATGAGTTAATAAAACAATTAATTGGACAACTATATTTCTATATTGTTCTGAATATAGTTTACTACTTATAGTCTACTACTGTTCTAACTATTACCTTCTCTTTATTACTAATCTGAATTGATCTCACTGGACCTTGTCACCTACTGTCATTTCCCATTAAATTTTCAGTGAGTTTCATCATCTATCCAGTCATAAATTGTACTATGGTCTTGGTCTTGAAAGTTGAATAAGTTAAATTTGAAGCTATTTGATGTCAATTTCACTTCACTTTTTTTAAAAGCTGTTTTCTTCACATAAATTCACAGGTATGTGTGATTTTCATACATTAGCAATTTTAGGGTGTAACATTGCTGTAATGTTACGAAAGCATAGAATGGCCACAAGATAAACTTTCAATTTGTAATTCATCAGAAACTTTGCATATGGTTGTCTACTTTTAATATAAGAAATGTAGGTAGACCAATCAGTCAAAGCTGTTTAAGACAGATAAGGAAATCAGATCATGGAAATGGCACTTCAACAATACTCAAACAAATCTCCTGCTTCCATTCTGGAGAGGAAATTTCTGACAGGCAGCAGACTGATGACAGATGAGAAAGAATTGTGTTATTGACACTAATACAATATTTCACAACTATAGGAGTTACTGGTAGTCAAATACCTACACCTTAACCATTGTCTCCAAATCTTGCCAAAACCTGGTTAATAAAATTAGTCAGCAAGTCATTTTGACTGACCAAAAATCAGATTTGGAAGTAACAAAAAAGCCAGAAATTTCTCCTAGCAGCACAGCATCCTGAAGAAGGTGACATTTTATTTTGACAGCTATTAGCAATTCATTTTGACTGACCAAAAATCAGATATCAAATATCAAAAAGCAAAATACATGGTTGATACAAGCGACGGTTTAAAGCCTAATTACCTTCAATTGATCTTGTTCACCAGAATATTCTATAGACTGAAAAATAGTCCATGTATACCTCCGTCTAGCCTCTAATCTGGCAACATACATTCTATACCATTTCTGGATCAGAATAGCAGCAATAATTTCTGAAATATGAGGAGATATTCAGCAAATTTCCCTTGTTTCACATTCATTTATCTTTTAATTATTTTTCATACACCATCCAGATATTCATATACCATTCAATCATATTCATTTATTCATTCATATTCATTTATCATTTACTTCACATGCATATTTTTCAACCATTCATTTACACTTTCATTCATTTACACTGTCATTCATTTACACTGTCATTCATTAACACTTTCATTCATTTACACTTTCATTCATTTACACTGTCATTCATTTACATTTTCATTCATTTACACTGTCATTCATTTACACTGTCATTCATTTACACTGTCATTCATTTACACTGTCATTCATTTACTTTCATGCATTTACACTGTCATTCATTTACACTGTCATTCATTTACATTTTCATTCATTAACACTTTCATTCATTTACACTTTCATTCATTTACACTGTCATTCATTTACACTGTCATTCATTTACTTTCATGCATTTACACTGTCATTCATTTACACTGTCATTCATTTACTTTCATGCATTTACACTGTCATTCATTTACACTGTCATTCATTTACATTTTCATTCATTTACACTGTCATTCATTTACACTGTCATTCATTTACTTTCATTCATTTATACTTGAATTCATTCATTTTTTCATCTTTCAATAATTAACTTATACTTTCATTCAAGTTGTTCAATAATTCTTCCTTCTTTAAATCCTTTAGCTTCAATTTATTATTGGTCATCAAGTTGAAACCAATATCAAGAGCAATTTATAAAGTGAAATATCATAAAACAGTAATATCCTATGTATAATTATTAACATCAATCATTCATAGCTTTTAACAGATATTTGTTAGAAGCTACTCACTTCTTTCAGTGCGTGATAGTTCCACACGTTTTTTAGATGATGAGCTATTACATCCCATCTTTCAATTGAAGAGTTTAAATGTCACCAGAATTGCTTCAGATCATACAAATTGACAGGTTCCATTTTAAAATACAAGTTTTTAGGTTTTCACTTCAAATCATTCCTTCAGACATCTTGCTGGTATCTTATTACCAAAATAGTGAACATAGTTTAATAATAGCAAACATCTTGGCTACAAATGTCGTTCTTCTTGCCCTAAATTAATACTTAAAATTTCACTGAAATATTAAGCGGTGCTCAACTATAAAATCAACATTACAAAAAGTTAAGTTTGAATATTGTCATTCCATAAAATCACAAAATTTATTTCTAAAAGTTCAATTTTTTTTTTTCACATCCAAACATTTGTTTTTTCTTTCAGTTTGATTTCAGTAAATTACAATCAAATGTTGTTTTCAATAAAAGTAACTTCTCCTGTTTGAAATTTTACAATCAATTTCAGCCAAATGTTGTAGTGCTTCACACGAGATATATCTAAATTATTCTTGTTATTTTCAAAGAATCAATTTTATAAAGTCAAATTAGTACTTGAATAATTCTTCCAACCAGCATTATCTTGGCAAACTTCTCCATTTTCAGTTTGAATGCCATTTGCATTACGACGCAATGTTTTAATTAATCCAAACTTAATGTTATTTCATGAGCATCCTTTCCTTCTTATTTGTCGACATTTTCTAATGTTGAAATTCTTACGATTAATCAATAACTTAAGTAATTAGTAATTCTTGTTTCACTATTTGTATTTCTTAGGTTATTTATTGTCAAGTAAGCAGAATTGGAAAGTCACATATAACATTTGTAAACTTTTGATATGATATTTCCACTTTTGAAATTTGGTCTCCTACACAAAATCGATTTATCAGAACTTTTTCTCTGAATTCACTGCTTCTACCACTTAAAATCCTCTACTTTACAGATCACACACCATTGTATTAACCATAACTAATAATTATACCATTACACAGTCTCTGTATTCCATCACTAACACTTTATATATCAGTCTAAAAAGAGAGAAAGATAAAAAATATTTAAATCTCAAGAAGAAATTAAAATAGGAATCAAACCTGCAATCTAAAACACATTTTTTACATCCTAAGAAGTCTGGTGTTCTTACAGGTAGATTATTGGACCACAATCTGGAATATAATCCATAATATTGTATCTTTATAGCATGACAATACTACAACAGTGGATCACTCACTAAATATAAGGTATGGTGACAACAGTGCATCACCTCAAGACTACAACCCATTGTTTTGTTGGGACCATTTAATAAATTCTCAATAGAAATAAATGTCTGGATTTATAATTAATTCTATCATCAATTTATAAAAATATATTAATTTGTCAGCTATGTCCATTCATGCTTGATCAGGAATTTCTCTTAAAATGATAAAATTTGGGATAAAACAATTTTGGTATCATATAATGTAAGATAAGGGCTAAGTTGAGCTAAATCTTGAAAAAAACCATACAAGTTTTTTATTCATTGTTAACAAACATCTAATGGTTATCAAAATCCATAGGAAGTTCCATTAGTATGTCATTCACAGCAGCATATGGGAGAAACAATTCTATTTTTTCTTGTAACCTAGAATTTGTCTTGTACATCCTAAAGGAAGCCAATAATATTGTGTTCAAGATAATACCAAGGTTGATTTCTTTATCTTTATAGCTGTAGGGCTTCTTAAAGGAATACTAACTCTTAGAATGAACATAAAATCTCTATTTTTAAATCTGGCCAATAAGAATATATACATCAGTGGACTCGGCGTGTGTATGTCAATAAATCCATAAATCTATGTCGCAAATGCCAAATTTTCAGTAAAATTAAAACTTGCCAATAATAAGAGTCTATTTTACAATATCTCATCACAATAATCACTGGATTTTATGTAATTCAGCTCAAGGTCACTGGCAAATAAACTAAACTTATTTTGATTACGAACAGTGATGGAGACTGGTTTCAAACTGACTGACTACGACACAAAGGTTGACACTTCCTGTTAAAAAAAATTCTGCTAAATCATAGAAACACATCTGCATAAGATTAATCAGGAGGATGTAACATTTCACCAATAGGGACGTCACCTGTGAATCAGTGACATTTTTATGAATCGTTAGGCGGAGGGATGGGGTAACGGTCACATTAATCTCAACGGGCAACAGCACCAGGCATTTATGAACTCAATGATAAGAAATTTGGAATTTAGTTTCCGTAATAACACTACTGCTGTAAATCTGTTTTAATTTTGGAGTGATTAATGTATATTCAATGGTGATATTTATCTTCAGATATAAGATTATTCTCATCAATTATTGAGTAAACTGATCAGATAAATGGTTAAAATTACTATTCCTTCAACAACAAAACAGGCATTTAATCATCAGAGCTGTAATTGAAAACATTGAGTCAAAACAATGATTATTGTCTGGAAATTTCAGTTTTAAAAACCTTGACTTATGCAATATATTTTACAGAAAAAAAAGCAATCAAATGTGGTATTAGTTATCCTGTTTTTTTTTTCTAATGGAGATGTCTATGTCAATCAAAGAGTTCCACAGGTGGCGGAAATCAAGTTTTCTCAGCTGGCAACAAAAGACATCAGAAAACAACATCACTCTAAATCCAACTTAATCTGCTTATTAAATCTTGAATCTTGAATTCTGTATAGAAATCTTTTGATTATTCAGCCTACACTACAAACACACGATGGCTTGGCTAATAGTAATTCAAATCAAACAAAAAAGCAAAATAAAATTAAATAATTTGATTTGCAATTCACTCATTCGACTCCTGCATAATCAAATTGAATTATTGTATTAAGCAGGCCTCACACTACACGATTTTCCCATCATAGAGCAAACAGTTTGAATTGTATCGCAGACTGTCATACCATCCTTCCCCTCACAATACATGACATAAAGCAATGTCGCAAGCCAATTTGTGTCATCAACGTTGACATAAAATGGATTCCTCAGACGAGGATGAAGCCTTGTCTCTTGTGGGGGGTTTTGATTATCCGTGCATGTGGGAAAAGACAAGCCAAGAAACAGATTTGGATATGGCCCTTGCATGCAAAGATACATAAGTGTTGGCCCTTCGTTTTTTGCTAAAACTTGAGTATGAAAACATCTCTGGATATGTCTCATTCTAAAGTGATTTGCAATAGCAAATTCCCACTTGATCAATCAATATATCATTCTTTTTAGACCACACCTGTGTCGGGTAACAGCCGTTGAGTTGCAGTTACAAAGTCATAACAGCGCATGCATGATACCTGTGAGGCAATCAAACTTAGTTGCTACTCCTGGTTTACTCTCTAGTCGATGTTTACATCATATAATATTGTCTCTCTGTATGTTAATAAATCTTAAAAACTACTCTTCATCGAGCATAACAATACCTATGATTAGCCACGATTCCGTTATTTTTTTTAGTATGTTCAAAACTCTACAACAAGATACCCTACACATCCACGATTGTCATATGCGCCTTCAAAATACCTGATATTGTGTCGTAGCATGAGATTGTGCACAACAAAGGACTGCATTACAGTGTTTTCAAACACCTGTACACAGGTTTTTTCTGTTTATACATTGATAAACTGAAAAGATGTTCAGGTCATTCCTTATAATTAAATCAACTCGAATACATGTTTAAAAATTTATGTAATATAACAACAACTTAAGGCACTAAATTGGTGCATAAATACATAACATTTTAACATAAAGTTCATGAACTGATACTAACAATAAAGACGTCCTAGAGAACAGCCAATCAAATATAAGTAGGTCACCTATTTATAGTCTACTGTCTACTACATGAAAGTTGACGGAGCGGCCAAATTGGCCAAATTGGAAGTTCAATTATTGAAAGATGAGTTCTATATAAGTCCAGAATTCATGATATTGTTGGTATTTGGAGTGTGCAAATTTGAGAAAATTTAGAAAATACCTTTATTATTCAGTGATGTGTTGATTTCGGCTCTGTTGACGTTCAAAGGAATCAAACTCAATGATAAAAGTAGTCCGTTAAGGGGCGGAGCTTATAATTTCCTTCCGTTT